AAAAGAGATGAGGAAGAAGAAGGAACGCAAGAACTGGAAGAGAAGCAGAGGATAGAAGAAGAGCAGCAACAAAAACTGGAAATGGAGGAAAAGCTAAAAAGGGATGAAGAGGAAAGGCAAACGAAGGAAGAGGAGGAAAGAAAGAATAGGGAGGAAGAAGGGCAGCAACAGGCAGAAATGGAGGAGAGGCTGAAAGACGAGGAGGCAGAAAAACTTAAAAATCGGAGAGAGGAGGAAGAAAAACGGCAGCAAGAGTTGCAGGAACAGCAGCGAAAAGAAGAAGAGGAAAAACGCCAGAGGGAAATAGAAGAGCAAAAGAAAAAAGAAGAGGAGGAACAACAGAAGAGAGAGGAGGAGGAGAAACTTCGAAGGGAAATGGAGGAGAAGATGAAGAAAGAGGAGGAGGAAAAGAGGAAAAAAGAAGCCGAGGAGCGGCAGAAAAAGGAGGAAGAGGAAAGAAAGAAGAGAGAGGAAGAGGAAAAACGTAAAAAGGAAACGGAAGAAAGAAAAAGAAAAGAGGAGGAGGAGTTAAAAAAGAAGAGAGAGCAGGAAGAAAAGAAAAAGAAAGAGGAGGAGAGGCAGAAAAAGGAAATGGAGGACAAGAGAAAAGCAGAGGAGGAAAAGCGTAAGAAGGAGGCGGAAGAGAAAATGAGGAAAGAAGAAGAAGAAAAACGCAAGAAGAAAGAAATGGAAGAAAAGAAGAAGAAGGAGGAGGTGAGGAAATGATTTTGAATTATCTCAAAAGGATCAAAAGTTCTCAGCTTCTAGAAGTTTCATTTTTTTAACGATTCCTGTTCTTCTGGTGTCGTCTGTTGAAAGGAGGAAAAGCCGAAAAGATTTGGTTTCAAGGAAAAGGTAAAACTTTCTTTGTATTAAAACTAAAGCTCTAAAGAACATGAGTATTTTTTTTATTCATTTTTTTAAATTGTCTTTATTTTTATTTATTTTTTTGTCAGGTTGAAGCTGACAAACAGAACGGAACCTTCATAGAGAATAAACTCAAGAAGACAACAAGGAGATCTCATATGTTGTTATCAAAAAAAAATAAAATAAATAATGGGTGAAAAAACCGTGTGGAAATTTTGAGTCGGAGGAAGATTATATTTAATAAATATGAATTATAGGTAGAGAGGTGCACTCCCGAATGTAACCCTTCATTCATTTCATCATCAGCAGTAAAATGTTAGTCGTGGCGTCCCATCATAGAGTCACTGTCTGTGTCTGTGACCAGGGACAACCCTCCTCCTTCGTCGAAAGCGGACGATGCGCAGCGCCGGGAAGCCGAGCGAAAGCTGCAGGAGCTGAAGCGCCGACGAAACAACCAAGAGAGCGAGGAGTTTGAGAAGATGAAGCTCAAGCAGCAGGAAGGGGGGGAGTGGGAGAAGCGGAAGAAGAAGAGAGAAGAGAGGAGGAAGGTCCTGGAGGAGGAGGAGAGGCAGAAGAAACAGGAGCTGGAGGACAAGAAAGCCAAAGAACAGGTGAGGACGTGCTAGAAGGTGGAATCGTAGCGGGCAAATGACGAACTCTCGATTAGAGAGTCACTCTGATTGGTCGACACTGGAGCCAGCTACAGTGGTGCTGTAGTACATTTTGGCTTTTGTGACAGGAGGAGAGGAAGAAGATGAAAGAGGAGATAGAGAAGAGGAGGGCGGAGGCAGCGGAGAAGAAGAAACAGATCGAGGAAGAAACCACTAAACAACCGTCCTTCGCCATCAGTCCCAAAGGTTCCTCCAAGGTGAAGTTCAGACAGTGTAAAAATGTATTATTTCAAATTTCAAAATTCTATTTTCTAAATGAGATTTTTTTCTTTTCATTTCTTC